GTCACCTCCTCTTCAACTCTTGGGCACAAAACACTTCCGGCTTCTCCAGAGTACCCCTCCCCCCAAGCCCCCACAGAGCGGGGTCCTCTTCAGCCCAGGCCCCCGGGGTCCCAGGCACACCATCAGCCCACAGAGGCTTGAAGGGACCCTGCTGTGCTTGTGCAGAGGCTCAGCGCCACCTGCACACACAGGGACCCGAGCCGGCCTCCGCCTCCGTGCACAGTGCACCCCCAGCTTCCCAGGAGAGGGGGGAAGGGGTGAGGGCGGCTGAAGAGGAACTCACGGGCCCTTAGCAGCCCGCGTCCCCACAGAGTCTGACCACCCACAAAACAACAACCATAAGGGAACCACTGCCCCCCGCAGAACCCCTGAAACCCCTCAGCAGGACGTGAGCCTTAACCGTTAGGGGCCCTCGGACCCTTTGAGCATCTGATGAAAGCCGGGAGGGACGCGCCTCTGCACAGACAGGCCTCGGAGCGCGAGATTAGCAAGTCAGTGGGGACTCAGGACTCAGGAGGCGCGTCCTGGTGGCCGAGCTGGGGGGATGCCAGCGGCTCAGAAGCGTCCCCACCAGGGCCTCTTCCTCGTTCCGCCTGCTGGGCACTGCTGCCCGGCAGACGCCATCCCCCGCCCCCCCTCCCCCCAACAGGCCGAAGTGTTCATCCCGCAGCGATTACCCCACTCACCTGGTTAGGAAACCAGGGGCTGTGGCAACCCTGGAGGGAGCAGCCGCCTCCGATGGCCCGAGGGCGGCCGGCCACGCCCCGCCGCTATAAAAGGGAGCAGCTGCGGCTCAGCGGCACATCCTGCCAACTGTTTCCCAGACACCCGGTAAGTGGGACTGCGCCGGACCCCGCTGATCTACCCCCGGGAGGGCGGCACGGAGCAGCGGCCTCTGAGGTTGCGGGGAGAGCACAGGGGGTCTGGCCCAAGACCCCGCACCCCTTGGGGACCAAAGAGGAGCCGGGCCCCCAGCACCGGTGGCGAGGGCGCATCTGCTTCCCAGGCTGGGCCCGTCCTGGGCAGAGGGTGAGGGTGTGGGGAGAGCTGGCAGGCACTGCGTGTGCGCGTGTGTGCGCGTGTGTGCGTGTGTGCGCGTGTGTGCGTGTGCGTGCGCGCGTGTGTGTGTGCGTGCGTGTGCGCGTGTGTGCGTGTGTGCGTGTGTGCGTGTGTGCGCGTGTGTGCGTGTGCGTGCGTGTGTCCCCACCCCCTCCCGCACTGCTATCCGTGTGTTCCCTCTGCCGTCACAGCTGCGGCCGTCCCTGGCTGTAGTTACTCAGGTGGTGCGGGCCGGGACGCAGCCGTCACCTGGGGCAGGGACCTTCCGCCTACCTCCCAGCCTTCGCTCTGCCGTGAGCAGAGGCCCCAAACCCACCCCGGGTTCCGCTGTGCACCCCCTTCCAGGTGGCACGGACAAACCCTCGAGCACCATGCTGACGGAGCTGGAGAGCGCCATGAACAACTTCATCGACATCTTCCACAGGTACTCCCTGGAGAAGGGCAACTACCACGCCCTCTACAGGGACGACCTGAAGAAGCTGCTGGAGGCCGAGTGTCCTCAGTACATGAAGGTGCAGAGGGGCTGGGCGTGGCCGGGGCGCGGCTGGCCCCCCAGGTCCACGGCCCTGCCTCTCCCCTTACACTCTGCTTCCTCCTCACTCTTGACAGAAGAAGGATGCGGACACCTGGTTCAAAGAGCTGGATGTCAACAAAGACAGCGCCGTCAACTTCGAGGAGTTCCTGGCGCTGGTGGTGAAGGTGGGCGTGGCGGCCCACGAGGACATCCACAAGGAGGACCACAACGAGTAGCACAGATGGCCGGCCCCGGGCTGTCCCTGGAGGAGAATAAAGGAGTTGATACCTCAGGCCCCTCTTGGTCTCTTGCTTTCCTGTCATGCAGGGAGGTCCCCCGGGAAGAAAACCAGACCTCTGCCGTCCCCACCCTGCATCTCTCACGGTCCCCCGTGCTTACCACTTGCCTGGTCTCCTCCCCACGGTCCCCCCAAACTACTTCTGACTCTCATCTGGCCCCGGCCTCAGTCACTGGCTCTAGGACTTAAAGATTCTAAAATGTCCATGACACTATAGCTGATGATCTTCCTACTTGTCCCCAAGTGGGTGATTGGGGAACAGGAGGGTATAAAGGAAACATTCTCTAAATGACACGTGAACACCCAGATATGACCCTTGGGGAATCGGGGCGTAGCTGTGCAGAAGTGTGTGCGTGCGTGTGCGACAGAGGCTGATTCGGTGCGTGCTGTGACTGTAGGTGGGTGTCCCACAGTGCGTGACACTAAGGGCCCCTTGTCCCCACACGTGTAACTTCTTAGAGGTTCCGGAAATGTTTCTTCTCTCCCGACTCGATTAAATACGGCAGGGACGGGCCGCCGGGCCAGGCCGCTCACTCCGAGCACAGGGCACTCAGTCGCTGGCCCGCATGGCGGATGCCGTGGTGACGGCCTGGCCCGCAGGGAAGCCATCCCCCGGGCCCCGGGCCGAGTGTCTGTGCTGTGCCTTGGGGAACTTTCCACTGTCCCCCCTGGGGTGGTGGGGGTGTTGGTGATGGGAAAGGGGGTGGGGGGCTGTCCCAGGATCTCTAAGCCAGGGTTCTTCACTTGGCCTGTGTGTGCAGCCCCGGAAGGGAGCTTGAGTCGCAGGAGCCATCTGGAGCGTGTGCAGAGGCGCGTCCCTCCCGGCTTTCATCAGATGCTCAAAGGGTCCGAGGGCCCCTAACGGTTAAGGCTCACGTCCCGCTGAGGGGTTTCAGGGGTTCTGCGGGGGGCAGTGGTTCCCTTATGGTTGTTTTGTGGGTGGTCAGGCTCTGTGGGGACGTGGGCTGCTAAGGGCCCGTGAGTTCCTCTTCAGCCGCCCTCACCCCTTCCCCCCTCTCCTGGGAAGCTGGGGGTGCACTGTGTGCGGAGGCGGAGGCCGGCTCGGGTCCCTGTGTGTGCAGGTGGCGCTGAGCCTCTGCACAAGCACAGCAGGGTCCCTTCAAGCCTCTGTGGGCTGATGGTGTGCCTGGGACCCCGGGGGCCTGGGCTGAAGAGGACCCCGCTCTGTGGGGGCTTGGGGGGAGGGGTACTCTGGAGAAGCCGGAAGTGTTTTGTGCCCAAGAGTTGAAGAGGAGGTGACTGACTCCCCAG